AGCCAGAGCCAGAGCCAGAGCCAGAGCCAGAGCCAGAGCCAGAGCCACAGCCACAGCCACAGCCACAGCCACAGCCACAGCCACAGCCACAGCCAGAGCCAGAGCCAGAGCCAGATCCAAAATCAGAGCCAGAGTCAGAATCAGAGCCAGAGCCAGAATCAGAATCAGAATCAGAGCCGGAATCAGAGCTGGAGGAAGAGGCAGAGCCCGAACCCGGTCCAAGTAGCCAGGCACAAGCAAGGCTTTCCACCTCAAGGCCTGCAGTTCCAAGGAGATCCTTGCTAGCAACCACAAGCTCTCCTCCAAGGCGCCCAGTCCGTATGCGGGCCTCTTCCCCTTCTCCTCCTGGTAGGCTCTATCCTTTCCCTGGGCAGTATAATGAAGGTGCCAGTTCTTCCTCCTCATTCACCAACGAGGATGTCTCCTGTGTTTCAGGTTCCCCTTCTTTCCCCAATAAGTCACCGGAACGGGGCTCCTCATCTCCACTAGGTGACTTAAGCTCTGTCTCTGGTCCTAGTCCTGACACCCTTTGGCGTGCCTTGATACCTGACCTGGATAACCTTGATTCTTCCTCTTCTGGAGAGTCAGAGGAAGAAATAGAGATTGCCCCTCACACTCCTGCATAGGAAGAAGTGTAGGGGATGCTCCTTACCTCATACTCCACTCTTGCTGTAATTCATGGTGAGACTTCTCCCAGACTCCTAAAAGGAATAGGCACTTACCCACTGTTGGCTGTGTGATTATCTGTGAGGTTTCTAGGGGTTTCTACCTATTTACTAGTAGTCTGAGCAGGTTTGAGGTCCCCTGTTCCCCTCACCCCAGCTATCTAGTACTTATAAGGACTTCTGTTCCATTTAGTACCCCCTTTATCTTTAAAACAGCCTGGGTTGTTTATTTGTTATTAGGTTTGGGTGGGTGTTTTGTTTTTATTTTTTGCCTCTAAGTTTTGTTTTCCAAGTTGCTTTTCTGTAATTAAGTATTTTAATAAAAGTGTTGTTTTATTTTTTAAAAAAAGTGGAAGAAATTCATATAAAAAGTTCAAGCTCAATCCCATCTCCACAAAGGCAGCTCTAATCAGTTTAACGATAGCATGTCCTACTTAGTTGAAACACTTCATTTCACTGCATGATATCTTGTACTGATAAGACACAAAGCCTGGGAACTTCATTTCTCTGAATCTCCTACAATGAGAATCTGGGTAATTAATTATGCTGAGAAAATTTCCAAGAAATTTGGAAGGTGGGTGAAAGAGAAGAGTTCTTTGAGATTTCTAACAGGCCCTGGGGCTGATTGAAGGAAGAAAGGTTAGATTACATTCTTAGGTCTTTGAGGGGATTTATCACCAACCTCCCTGAAACCACAGCCACCATCACAACTACACAAAAACACCATCCAGACTAAACATGCCTTTGCTATTCAAGACTGAAGAGTACCTGAGTCACTCAGTTTTCAGGAATGGGAGGCAGGTTGGAGAGCTTAGGTAAGACATACCTCTCTACACACTTTCAGGGAATAACAAGGAGATTCTCAGAAGGTGAGGACCATGGCCAGAAAAAATAGAGAACAGGTTTCTTTTATATAAAGTGATCTAGGCTAACCAAAGGCTCTGCAGTCGTCTGTGCTGTGCATGTCTATGTGTTAGAATGTTAGCAGAAATCACTGTGCTTGCTTGCACTGTCCCTCTGATTATGGCTGTATGTACTGAAGGAGGGGAAGGAAATTGTATTTCACATTCTTAGACTGAAGGAACAGCCATGTCTAGGCCAAGAAGAAATTTTTATGCATACCCAAGATGCTAGAGGCTGAGCTACTTGTAATGACTGATTCATTCTTTCTAAATTAACTTTAGTGTGTGCAGAGGAGGGCTGAGTGTGGGTTTTCCTGAAATAAGAAATGGGAAAAAAACTATTTGGTGAACATAAAGGAAAGCTTTGTCAATAACAATGTTATTTATCATGCAACTCTTCTTCAACTTCATTGGCATAGAGAAGAGTGATAATTCCCAGTCTCACATGGATGATACTGACTTCTAGAACATTACTAAAGGGACAAATGTCACTTCTGTGCTGAGACAGGAAAGTGCTTGTGAACTCTGCACAAATTTTCTCTCTTTAAACCTTGATGGCACAGTTGAAAGAAGGTAACAGTTTATGAAGTTTATCATGCTTGAAGGCTTGTTGCCTAGGACTTAAAATCCACCTGTGGATCAGGCTGTGGAAAGAGTATGTGTATATATATATATATATATATATATATATATATATATATATATACTTTAAAAATGTCCTGTGATATTATTACAGTGTTTGTTAGACATTGTTTAGGCCCTGACTTGTTAGTCCTTGGTCCTAGTTGGAAAGAGTGTAAGGGAAAACTGGACTAAGGAAGGCAATGAGACATTTAGCATTAGGGAAGAATCAAAGCACCCAGCTGAGTTGTTTACACATACCAACAGGATACTGTACCCAAAGGTAACACAGAGAAGATAAAATCCAGTCAAATAAACTGATGCTCACTGGCTTGCTCTTTCTGGCTTATCCAATTTGCTTTCTTATATTTTTTATGACCACCTTCCCAGGAACAGCACCATCCACAGTGGGCTGAGACCTTCCACAGCAACAATGAATCAAGGAAATAACCCACAGACTTTTCTACAGGCCAACCTGATGGAGGTATTTTCTCAATTGAGAAACTTCATCTCAAATGACTCTAGTTTATGTTGACTAGCCAATAAAATAAATAAATAACCAACACACTGAGAAAGTGTGAAGATAGGAGTTTGGAATCCTCCTATTTTATACAAATGCCAAATGGGTATGGTGGCCTACTTGTAATCCCAACAGGTAGGAGGTGGAGACAAGATAACTGAAACATGATGCCTACCAAGTATAGCTGAATTAGCACACTCTGATTCAAGTGAGAGACATTCCATTAATATATAAGGTGGGAAACAACCAAGACACTTGACATCAATCTCTGGGTTGTTACATGCATCTTGACTCTTGTGTACATGCATATGCACCTGCAATCACATGCATACATGGTTACCCACCCCCACATGAACATGCCACACACCATAAACATAGACATGTGAAAAAAGAGGAGAGAAATAGGTGATTCTCATGACATTAATCAAGAGCAGAAAAGAAAAAAGGAAAAAAGAAAAGGAGTAGAAGAAAGAAAAGAAAAAAGTTCATGGGATGGTAGCCTACTGCCTTAACCATCTAGCTGACTCAGCATAATATTATAAATGAGAAATTTTATAGCTAAGGTAAGATGTAGCTTTTAAAAATTAGAACACAAACAGGCAAGATGGCTCAATTGGGAAAGCTGCTTGCCACTAAGTCTGATCCTCTGGATCCACATGATAAAAAGAGAGATTTAAATCCTAAAAGTTGTCCTCTGATCTCCATAAGCTCACTATGACACAATCTCCTACGGCACAAAATAAATACATAAATACATAAATGCAGTAAAAATTTTCCTTAAAATTTTTACGTTAATTTTACTGTGTATCATGGTATGTACGTGAAGGAGAGAGGACAACTTGCAAGAATACATTCTCTGCTTCCACTGGGTGAGTTCCAGAGATTGAATTTAGATCACAGGCCTAGGGATAGGTAACATTACCCACTGAGCCATCTTGCTAGTCCCCCCATCCCCAAGTTTTATTTACAAGGGTTGAATTATGGCTTTATAAACAATTAGAGAAGTACCTACCCTGGCCAAGATGGCCCATGTTATCCAGAAGAAAGACACCTATGAATCTGGTGCAGGTGCCACAAAATGGACAAATGTGTGATGGAGAGATGGAAAAGTTGGAGTACAAAGTGTATAGATAGAGGAAAAGGTGAAGTCAAGGGAGAAAGATGGAACTGGAGACTGGATGGCAGATATAAGGAGACAGTGGTGATGTCCTGTCCCTGGCTGCTGCCAAGGACAATGTCTGGGTCCGTGGTCCTGTTGTAGCTGGAGTGTGTCAATATCTGTGGCCTGAGTAATCACCTAAGGCCAATAGAATATGCGTGGTCTGAGCTGCCATTGGCAATCTTGTGAATACTGAGGGTTATGCTGCAATTGCGGGACATGATGATCTGAGTGGCCTGTGTTGCCACCTGAGGTCATGGGAACATCTGGGCCTGTGCTACAGGGGTTGGAGGTGTGTGTAAATGTCTGAGCCTGTAGTCCTACGACAGCAGGGGCTTCTATAGATATCCCAGGCCCCTGTTACCACCAAAGGTCATGCGAATGTCCCTGGTCTGGACTGCCTCCTGAGGCCCTGTGCTGTAATGGCCCTGCCCCTTCCTGGACAGCACAGTAGAACAGGTCTTGGTGGAGTAGGCTAGGGTGAGTCAGCCCCCAGTACTTGACAGCAGGAGAGGTGACCTTGCCCCCTTGGCAGCTACAGAAGTGAGTGAGCTAGCTGGGGCAGTGCTGGAGAGCTCTCCCTAGTCGTGCAGGTGCAGGAGAGCTGACCAATTCTGCTATCTCCCTGGCCCAGAGGCAGGGTTTTGAGTTGGCCCACCCTAACATCTGTCTATGATCTTCTGGAGCATGCGAAGGGCTGGTCATGTAGATCCAAAGGCTAAAGGATCTCTCTGACACAGAGCAATAGCAGGATATCTGAGAAGAGTCCCAGTGAGTTTCCGGTATAGATAGTGAAACAGATGCCAGAGGTCTCAAAACAGACCAATGAGTCATTGCAATGAACATTTGCAAGTAAAAATGTATGGGCCAGGTTTATGCTGTGTGACATCCTGTGACACACTACAACTTCTAGGACAATATTTTCTTTTATTCTATCTTATTTTATTTAATTTTGGGAAAGGCGGTTGCAGGGGTGGTGAGTGGATGTGAACAGACAGGAAGATGAGTGGGATTGGGGTTGCATAATGTGAAATTCACAAGGAATCTATACAAAGTTTAGAAACACAACTGGCTGACATGTTTTATACTGTTTTAATTAATTAAAATAGATACATTTTCTATAAATTATAATTCACCAAATTAAATTCAGAGTAGGAAACATGGATATATTTACAACTACTAAATAAATTCAATCACTTCTTAAAAGACAGCATGCTAACACAAATGGAGAATTAATATATAAGCAAAGGCACCCCTAAGTCTCACTACAGACAGTATTATGAGCACACTTTGATAAATATTGAAAGAATGATCATTCGAATCTTAATAGGTTTGGGGACATAAATGAAGGATAATTATGCAAAGCCTTCAAGTTTTATAAGAATAGTGCACCAAGCTCAGAACTGGTTTATTCCTAAGATGCAGACTTGATTCAATGTTAAAGAATCATTAAGAAAATTTTTGTAACAAAAAACAGAACTGATGTAAAAGATGACATTTAGACAAACATGAAATATCTATAGCAAATGTTATCAGCCCAACAGTAAGTAGATGTGAAGACATATATCAACACTATACAATTTCATATTAAATACAGAAAGCGATTAAATCATTTGTTTGGTTGGTTCTCTATTAGGGCCTACAGAGGGAGGAAGAATGTCTGCAAGGTAACCATAATCTCACTTAAAATTCCAGTGTAGAAACTAATGAAATTTGCAGTACAAGGCATGGGTTACTTCCCTGGGAATTATCGGTAGGG